CACTTAAAAATTCATATGATACGATGCTGTCTGTACTTGAGAAGATTGCTGCAATTCTTCCCATCCTTTTCTGAGATGCGTTTTTATTTAGTGACTTAAGGAATGAGTATGCAGAGAAACACAGGGGTCATCTTTTTTGTCTGGCATCATTCAGCCATATAGATTTCATTTACTAAACTCATGCTTGCTTCAGGCAGCAGCAGAAATTTCATTATCATCATTGTACCAGTCTACAAGCTTGATGATTGTAATAAAATGCTTTTTTCTTCACTCTACCGGTCAGCTAGATAAGATACTACAGCACATTGTCATTGTGAGTTTTACTAAAAGATTTACTCAGCCTTATTAATATCCTGTGAGGTAACACAGGAAAGGTGAAGTAAATAGTGTATACCAGAAAGTGAGCATTCAGTGTCCAGCTATATAAGGATTTCTACTTTATTAAAAAGACAAAAAAAGGCAGGTGGTTATTCATTGTGTCAATAAAGGTGCTTAGTCAGTTAAATTTATTCTGCAGCATCTCAACAGAAAATTAGGCAGGTGATAAGCTTTAGTATAAACTATTATATGTTTATTTTTGAGATGTATCTGATTCTATTTTTGAAGTGTATGAGTGCATAAATTCAAATATTTATCAATCTTAGTAAAAATAGCAGTATCATGACATTCAATAAAAGCTTTTTACAACTATTTTGAAGGTAGTATGTATTAACCTAGGAAGTTAATTTGATAACTTTTTTTAAAAATTTTATTTTCTCCAGGAGTTTACATCTAAGTCCTGTTCCTTCAAGGGCACCTAACTTATTTGAGTCTCTTTTCAGTGATGTTAGTGGCAAAATTCCTGTAGACTGCCCATAGCATGGGGACATACATTTATGGAGATAAGTAAAGGTTCCTTCAGTAATTCACTTTTGCTCTTTGTTTTAGGCTGTGGGGTTTCATCAGCCTGGCAGCATCAGAATTGCTTCAACTCCCACTAGGGTGGATGAATTCAGATACCAAATGACTCGTGCGGGTTGGCACCCAACAGAGCAGTACCTGATCACACCTGAGAAAGTACAAGAGCTATTTCCCTTATTGAACATGGATACGGTAAAGAACCTAATTTTATGAAAAATAACTTCCATTGCAATTAAATACCGGTTTATCAGATATGATGACATAAGGTCTGTTTATACAAATTGTCAACAAATTCTTGGTTTTCAGTGAAAAGAAGATACCTTATAAACTAAAATCAGACTCACATGCATTTTAGTGTATACTGTATGCCAGTATGCATACTATTAACTGTAATATATAAAATATTGTAATATTAAAGCATTGCAGCCTTTGATTGCATGGGACAACTGAGCAATTTTACTTCCTTACACCATTGTTAAGTCAGCTAGTTGAAGGCCTGATATCATTATATGTTTTGAAAATTTGTTTTGATTTGACTCCTTAAGATTTACTGCATTCAAGAAATAAAGTGTTTTTTAAAAAAATAGTTAATTTTGATAAATTTTAATTTCTTTCATTTTGTGGGATTTTGCCTCCTCTTAGGTTTTGGCTGGCCTGTATAACCCTGGAGACGGTCATATTGATCCCTATTCTCTCACTATGGCCTTGGCTGCAGGAGCCAGAAAATATGGTGCCCAATTAAATTACCCTGTCGAAGTGACTAATCTGAACTCCCGATCAGATGGGACATGGGAAGTTGAAACTCCACTTGGAATAATTCAAGCAAAGAGAATTGTGAATACTGCAGGTAATGTAAGCATTTGCATACAGATCTTCAGATTTACAAACTAGTGACACAGAGCATCTGTACTGAATTGTGTAGATTACAGGAATAAGTAATATATGGTTTTGACTATTCACTTGGTTTGTGTTAAAACATACTTTGTGCATATTACATTACAGTATTGTGAAAATTTAGCTCTTAGGGTAATTGTCCTTGACTAGGCATCAATAATATTTCTTTCTGGTTTGTCTCCAGCAGTTACTAGTCAGACTGTCTTGTTAGATTTTAGTAGCAGAAGAGACCTTTACTGGTCTACAGTAAGTTGTGTAGAAGAGGCAGGCTACTGTCTATGCATATTGTCCTCTAAAGTCTTATGAGACCTACTTAGGAAGGGAAAAGGATGTACAAATGAAGTAGAAATGTCTTCACTGCTTTTTCGAAAAGACTGAGGATTTGTGGTAAGATAACCCTGCCTATTTCAGTATTATCTCTCTAAGATTTAACTCTATCCACATATCCTTGAAACAGAAGATTTTTGTTGCTCTTTGAGTAGTATTTTAAACATGCACTTGGCTTAACAATACATTTTTTCATGTAATAAAAATTTCCTAACTCAAAGGAGCTTGTATTTACATATGCAATTTTTATTCTTCATTGGTTAAAGAAGCCAAACTAATGTTTCTGCTTCAAAGAGCTTTTGGGCAAGAGTCCTTTGGATTTGCGTTTGTTTTCCTAAACAAGTTAATAGGTCTAAAAACCTCTATTCAATCTAAACTTCACTTATTTTTATGCTGCTTTATACAAGTTATAGAAAAATATATTATTGGTGAAACAGTGGGCACCTCCTACATGAAGTGTGCCTTCTGCTTCCTAGTGGAAGACTTTCTGTTTTCAAGTGTTTGAAAACATGCTGAATATTTACCGTTTGGATGAAATTTTTGCGGACTGTCTGTCTCAAACTGAATCATATCTGCATTTTTAGGGCATGCATCTTTCATTCATCCTATCTCAGTGAATAATCAGACTTCATTAAGAAGCTGTATGGCTCAAGGGGACTTTCTCTTCTTGCTCAGATGGGACAAGTGAACTGAGAGCAAGGATATGTCTTTATAATTCCTCTTAACATCTGCGCAGTGGAAAAGAAAGAAACCATGTATTTCTAGTGCAAAGCAGCTAAAATGAAGAAGTTGAATGAGACAGGGATTCTTCTTATTGGTGGGTAGAATAACCATGTTTGACAATTGGAATTATGAGTGAGTTGTACTGGGAGTAGAATGGGAGAGTGAAATGCCTGGGGAAGGTTCCTGGAGGTGTTTGGGAGCACTGGCAGGAAGTGGAACACTTGTGTGCTAGAGGACTTGCTGAATAAGGAAGCTCTGAATAAGGAGGGACTGTGGGCATGGCAACAGTGAGGATGACATCATAGAGAAGGATAGCAGAAAGGGTTCTGACATGTTTCATTAAGGGAACTGGAGCTGAAGTTTTTTGGGCGAAAAGATTAGGAACGATACTTGAGGACTGCTTGTGTGTGAAACTGATACTGGGAAATTGAGGCTGCCTGAGCTGTCTGAGCATGAAAGACTGGTGGAGTAGACTGGAAGAAAGAGAAGGCAGGTGGGACAGGATCTGACAAATGAGGGAGAATGACTTGCACACAGAGTCAAAATAGCTGAAGAAGGATGTAAGGACTGGCGTAAGAAGAGTAGAAGTATGAGACTGAGCAGAAAAGAAGAGCAGGTATGGGACAATCAGGGATGGGGAAGAGAGAAGATTAGGATAGAGAGAAATTTGGAGGGAATGGGATAAAAGGGCTGAACTGTTGAGAGGACAAGCTTTACTGAGTGACCTTTCTTTCAGTGTCTGGGATGTAGACAGTCCCATGTTAGATCATTCTAGGCTTTCAGTAAAGACTAACTGGGAAACCCATTGAAAAGTGTGCTTTCTCATCATATGCTTCCCATGCATAGGTGATCACCTGCTACTGCTATAAGCCTAGCTAAAATAGCAGGGATCTGAAAAAGTTCACCTTGAGGTTCTAAGCATGCTCACGAACGGTGATGATGTCCATACAGTGCCACATAATGACATTTTGGAGAGAGAGAGGACTAGAAGAGTTCATATGCTTTTTAGAAAACAAAGAACCACAGAAACAGGGAAACCAAATTAAAGGAATTTTATTTAGACCGCAAAGTCAAACACTGAGAGGATAAGAGGCGTCAATATTAGATTGCCTTTGGACTGTCAGTTCATGGCTTTCAGGCATGAATTATGGGACAGCATTGAGTTACAAAGTCGCAAGCTGTCTTACTAATAGGATCCTTATGTTACACAGTATGGATATATTGATCTGGGAACGATCCAAGATTATGGAATGGAAAGGCAGCTCTTTGGCAATCAGACTTCTTATTTAGGTCAAAAACTCCTAGGCACTCATTATTCCTAACCATTGGCTCCACATTATATGGATGAAGTATCACACATGTAGTAATTTGCTTATATTTTTGTAGTGTAGTTATCTTTCTTTGGCTTATGTATCAAGTTGACATTAGGCAGAGTTTTCTAGTAAATGCTTTTCAAAGTTTATTTGCAAGAATTAGAATGCACCCTTGTGGAATTTTCGTAGTCTTTTTTTTTTACTTAATAGTATATTAAGCCAACAATATATTTAGTTAGTTCTCTTGTGTAGTTAACTATGCAGCCAAAATGAATATATGAAGCACATACTGCTTAACATTCTGGCTAAGGATGTGAAATCAATACTGTATAACACATATCTCTTATAAATGTTCTCTCAGCTAACATTCATTCTTCTTCTCAGCCTTGCCTCATTCCACTACAGATCATGACTGGTATAATTCAGAGCTCATACTTAAGGCTCGTGTTGCACTACAAGTGGAGAAAAATGTATCAGAAGGCTCTCTACATTCTCTCTCCCCCCTCATCCCCCAGCTGACATCTGCTGTGGAACTGGAACAAACTAGTTGCAACCAATCTTTAGCTGTTCCTTATGTGAGATTTCCATTTTGGAAGAAAGCAGATGCCTACTAAATAATCCTTGACATGAACTAACTGGTATTGAGCCTGCTGAAGTGATTTGCAGCCTATTTATTATGGAATGTTTGATTAAAGTCCACAAAAATAGTGAATTTAGTTTATATATACAGTATGTGTGTGTATATAAGCACACACTTGCAGACATGTACACACTGTATGTACAACCATTTATACATACATGGTGATGGAAGATTTTCTCTTTTTTAAAAACAAGAGATAGTCAGATTACATAGTTCAACAGATATGCTAAGTACTACCACCACTAAATATTTCAGCATCAGATGTTTGCAATCTCTACAATTTAATCTTTACAAATGCCCTAGAGATATAATTTATGCCTTCGTTTATCTCTGCTGTGTGTGATAGGACTTGGCATCTGCTTCCAACTGGAATTTTGTTTCAAAGAACATATTCTTCCTTTTGCCATTTTTGTGTTTGTAATAGCTTTTGCACATGGTTCAAAAACTTTAAACAAAGAAACTGTAATATTTTTCATTTAGTAAATGTCAGCTGTTGTTATTCTAAGCAATTAAATAAGCACTTATCATAAGTGTGATTTTTTTAGAAGTACAATATTTAAAATTTGATTTTGAGCAAACCTAAACTATTTGCCTTTAATTCAAAAGCAATTTAAAGTCAGCTGTGTTTGTAATGTACTTCTGCAAACTAAATGGCTAAGAAATTTAATATTATGTTGAAAGAAACAAAGTTAAGTTTCAAAGACCTAAAATTAAGTCTACCATTTTTATTTTCTTTGAGGAGCTTAAATACACTTGCTCTCTCTATTTTTCCCCACTCATTCTGTTTTAATGAGTAAGCAAAATAGTGAATTTATTAGAAGCACATTCCCAGAGCATTCTTTCTTTTCCAAATATCTCTTTAAATCCAAGCAATTTTGGCAGGAAAACAGTGCATGATACTAGAAATGGAATTTTCTACTACTTCACCTTTCTTTCTCCTTTTTGGATAATTAGCTGACCTTACCTTACCTTGTAGGTGACATGGAAATGTCCAAATCAAAAGAAGTTCCCCTAAGATTGTTAGCCTCTACTTAAATCCACATTTGCATTTGTCATGTGTAATGGAGGAAACCTTTGCAGATGTGCTAGAAATTCAAATTTATTACAATTTTTTTGGTTGTTTTTTGTACAAGGGAGCATAGATCAGGTTTCAGTAGCCTTAAAGGATGTTTTGAATCACTGTGTGACTATGGCATGATCTTCCCTGAGCTAGTTTAACTGACTTAACAAATATTCTGTTTGTGAGTCTCCTCCAAATGGTGAGGATGCCATTAAGAAGCAAAACTTTTATGTATGATAAATGCAGAACAGCAGATACTGGGTTTTAGTGTTTACTGGGCAGGGGCTTTTAGTTTAACAGATCTCTTTGTCATGATCCTGGATTTCCTGCTCCCTTGCTTTACCTGGCTGTCAGCAATTGTCAAGTGAGTCACGACAGAAAATGTTTTCCTCGGAAACTTTGCGTTTTTAAAAAGCAGGACCTCTACTCCTTGATCCAAAGAGTGCGGAGGGTGGGGCTGAGGGATGTGCCAAGCTTCTTAGAGCAGCTGCCATCCCAGTCACTTGTATCTGTCTGATTTCTGGGTCTGTATGTTCCAACATCACAGCAGATGTGAGCCATGATACAGAGCCCAGACTACTAAGTTTGGCAGCTAAGTGGCTTCAACTCCTTGGCTTTGACACAGGTACCTCACTAAGTGAATGTGTCTCACCAGCTAGAAACAGCTAGTCTGGAGGGATCTTAACAGAGAAGAATTAGGTCATCTTTAACTTATGCCTAGTAGTATACATGAAGGGGCTGATAGGCTTCAGGAGCAGGGAAATTGTTGCTTGCTTTTTCTGGTCACAGTCTGTATTTAATTGGACAACTATGGAAGAGCACACTGACTAGTCACCAACACGGACATTGTAATTAATTGATTGCTACGCGAGAGACATAATTAATTAGAGTCATGCAATGCATGTGAAAGAGGAGAGAAACTTAAATTCTTGAGGTTAGCGGACTGAAAGTACTGCCTTGCTCTGTTGAGGGGTTAGGACTCGACTACCATCTTGGGAAAACATACTAGCTCATTTGGTAGATAGTAAGAAGCTAGGTTAACACCTACGGTGTGAGCTAACTTATTCTGATTTTTAAGTGTCTCTGACTTTGCTAGGACTGCATTGCAGACCTATTTTACTGAAATAAAACATGGGCTTTGTGGGACTGTTAATTAAACTCTCTTCTGAACTTTTAGAAGCCTAATTTATATTTTTCCAATTGTATATTTTTATTATCTGTATACTAGAATGATATATGGTAGTATAATTAGGAACAAGGACATGGAATTATAGAGGGAAAATTATGCTGGATAATATGAAAAATAATTTGAAAATTTAAAGTATGGGAAAAAATGTCTTTGTCACATTCCATAAAGTGCAGTGCCTCCTGCGAAAGTTTTATTTTCCATTCCTGGAAATTAGTCTTTGAATATTTCTATTTTGTTTTTTTGTCTTCTCTAGGCTTCTGGGCCCGTGAAATAGGCAAGATGATTGGCCTGCAGCACCCTCTTATACCTGTTCATCATCAGTATGTTGTGACATCAACTATCCCTGAGGTGAAAGCCCTAAAAACAGAATTGCCTGTGATTCGTGACTTAGAAGGATCATATTATCTAAGGCAAGAACGGGATGGTCTTTTATTTGGTCCGTATGAAAGCGAGGAAAAGATGAAGCTGCAGGACTCATGGGTAACAAACGGAGTCCCACCAGGTAATTAAAAACATTACATATTTAAACTTGATAAGCACTAGCACATGTTTTAATGTGTATAAATCCCAGCCTGTCATGCTGCCTTATGTGATGGAAATAGAAAATATTTGCAATGTGTGATTGTAATGCAGGAACTTTTTTCCAAAGAATAGAACTCTAATGATAAGAGTGAATAGAAATAAAAATGTAACGTAAAAAAGCCTATTTGAAATAGGCACAAAATACACATCTACAACATAGTTTAACCCTACTCTCTGAACAGGTGCCTGTGTGTTGTGATTAGATGCAGTCACCAAACCTTGTTATGCAGTCTTCTGCAACTGAATAGGGATTTTTCTAAGCTACAGTTCTCTCCAGCATACTGACAGGGGCTTTGGATTTTTGCTGTTCCCACAGAGGTAATGTGGTAATCAAATAGGAATGCAGGTATAGCAAAGAAATGTCTTAGACAAAATGCTGTGCTTGGATATAAGTGCAAGAGAGCTGTAGACTTGTATAGAATTTTTGTACAAAAAATCCCAACAATGTAATACTGCTGCTTATTAAAAAAAAAAAAAGAAGAAAATGACTGTGTTATATCTAGGCTCCAGCTTTCCATTCACTTCTAGACAGAAAGTTATATTAAGTCAATAGTGTTGCTGTTTTAAAAAAACACAACATGGTTCCTAAGGAAGAGCAATCAGCATTGTTGGGCTTTGGATTGCACTGTCACAGCTTCCTGAACTTATTGTCTCCAGTGGTGTCAAGTCCCTCTACAGAATGATGTTCAATAATGCTTATAGCCCAGACTGAAGGCTGAAACATATCCAGAAATTCACTAAACACCATGGAAATCATAAGCTGACACAGGCAATATCTTTCTTCGCCTCCCCAAATCATTGGCATATTGAGAAAAATAAGTGGGTCTTATTAACATAGAAGGAAGTTTCTGTGTTTCTCCACTTCCTTTCTACTTCATTGTTGAATTTGCATGACCTCAAGGTTAAACAAATATGTATAAAGGACAGTGTAACTGCAGTGATAATAAGCTTGATCCTGCAGGTAACTAGGGATTTATGCATACCATTTTTCTTGTGTAGGATGGCAAAGGCTTGAACATATTCACTGATGAATTCCATATAACTTTTATATATGTAGATTGCATAACTATTTAAAATGTACGTATTTTTAGTGTAATTAAGTATATAATAAGAGTCCGATATTTATGCAGGTTTTGGAAAAGAACTTTTTGAGTCTGATTTAGACAGAATAATGGAGCATATTGAGGCTGCTATGGAAATGGTCCCAGTTCTGAAAAATGCAGACATCATAAACACAGTTGCAGGTCCTATCACCTATTCTCCAGACATCCTCCCTATGGTGGGACCACATCAGGGTGTCAGAAATTACTGGGTAGCTATTGGTTTTGGGTGAGTAAATTCTTCATGACAACTTTTGTCTGTCATATTGTTAAAATGGCACTCAGCTCAAGCTTTGCAAATTTTTATGGGTTTGGGGGTTGTTTTGCACATATTTTATGTAAAATGTAATTGGAAATAGTCTTAATTACCACTGCCTACATAATACAAGCTCCTGCTTACTTCTTCATAACTCTCACTATTTTTTCAGTTTGTTCACTCCTTTTATTCTGGAGGCCAATATCTGTGACACTTCATGAAGCAGCAAGAAATGGGTAGTGCTTGGTACTGTCTGTGCAGCAAGTTAAAGTCATAGAAGTGCTGGGCTTTACAATACACTTTCCACTTCATTTTATGTATTGCTTTGAATTACACTGTATTCACCAGTTGTTTGGCGTATGCAGAAACTGGTGTCACTGAAGTTGTGGCAAGAATGATTGGTACAGGGAGAACTTCTAATATGAGGTATTAACTTTCAGGTGAAGAGTGGAAGGCATACTAGAGCAGGAGGCACTGCCAGCATACTGGGTGACCGACTGCTCTAGGGATATGAACACAGTAATGGTTCTGACTGTTGAAGGTTGAGCTGAGAAATGGCGTTGCTGGGTGTTGGAGGAAAGCAAATGAGGGCAGTGTGACAACAGGAATGTATGTTTTACTGGTGTCATTTATTCTCTCCTGCCCACTACAATACTTTCTTTGCATGTGACTTACACCTTACATACTCTGGCCCCACTGAAGTCAGTGGTAAAACTCTTACTGACTTCTCTTTAATTGTCTTAGTTTGACCATTGATTCAAGATGGATAGAATGAACTGAATACAATTCCAAGCCCATGTTATTGAACACGTTCTGTTCACATTGTTTTTCAAATTGCCTAACTTGCTGTTCAAAATCCAGCTCAGCTTTTTCCAGTCTTTCAGTCCAAACCAAACAAACCCTCAGATCATAAGATAAGGCAGTACCACTAACGTGCTTTCCGAGGCCCTCAAAATGAAAAGGTTTGGTAATTTTGCAATGATTCATTGTGAAAGGTATTCACCTTTGCTGCTTGGATTTTTTTAAAAAAATATTGTTATCTTTTAGTAACATTTGCAGAACTTATAGTTACAAAAGTGGTTTGCCTAGTCCTTGTTCACCAAAAGACTGTTTAAGTTCATTACTGTGCTGCCAGACTTTGGAGCCTGTTTTCCTTCATCGTTTTTCAGTGGGAGCAGAATCAAAGTTCCATACAGGAATAACTGAAGACCAGTGTTATATGTTTAAGTTTCTTTAAACAACTTATTTCAGGAATTTGATTAATCTCTAAATGTTTAGACACAGGTTGCAATTCTGTTGCTGTCATTGGATTGCTTTGTCTGCTTTTCAGGGACTTTTGACTCTCTGTTCTACACTTCTGGGTCACTGCAGTGTTTCTACCAGTGTTGTAATTTTTTGTGTGCATTAGCAAATCCTTATCGCATAGTCAACTAGCAGGGACATTGTGACAGAGGACTTAGTGCTGTTAGTTTAGAGGATTTTTATTATCTAAAATTAGCGGCTTGCTAGGCATTTTAATGTGCAATGAAGTTAAGTATAGTTAGCAGAGCTTGTAGCATTGTTTATTATTAAGGTTGCTCAATGCTTCCCATTTAAGACTGTTTTCAGTTACTTTGAAAATGTTAACAAGAGTAGGCTAGAATTTTATTCAGAAAAGTTTAAGTCAAAGTAGTGTAACCATTCTAAAGAACGAGGTTTTTGGAAGGTATGTTGTTTTGCTGTGTTAAGGTTTTTGGGGTGAAGTCTTTCTTTTGAAAAGCTCCAATTTCCCCATTTTCTGAGAATGAACATCACATTTGGCAGATGGGACCTTTCTCCTAAAGATATGCCTTTCTGCAGTTTTTCACAAAATCTATCCATGAGGCCCATTCGCAAGCCTTTAAAAATGTTACAACTCATAAACACTTAATAGAGACTCACTAAACCTTGCACTAAGATTCCTGAATTCTATCTACAGTAGTATTCCACAGCCAGAGACTGAACAGGAGTTTTTCTGCAGAAATGGGATAGAAAAATGGCTAAACCTGGGACAAAGACACTAGAAAAGGGACCATGGTGTGCAGGGACTCAGATTTCCTAGGAAAAAGGAGTGGAATGAGTAAAAAGTTGTTGAGAAGCAAGGACTCATAAACAAGTAAGACACAAGAACAGGACAGGGATAATGGGGAAGGTAAGATGGCAGGGACTGGAAGGAGACAAGAAAAACAGAAGAGGGCAGTTTGTATTCATTAAGGAAGTTTTCTCTAAATTCTCTTATGAAGACTGAGATTCCTAAACTGTACCACTCTTTACAGCTATTTGTGACATCCCATCCCTGCAAAGCGTGTGTTTCATTCTTGTGTAGCAGAACTGCAGTGGTATATTAATACAACCAGCTCCCCATTATCTGAGGTAATGAAGGATTTGGGCACCCTGCATAATTTAAAATCTCTGATAATGTAGGCCCAGCTAGGAGCACCAAAATCAACTGATTGCACAGAGTCAGTGATGCAAAGCTCTGCAGAGTGCAGAGACCAGCCCACACGCCGTACTGTACCTGTAGCAGTAGCAACTCCACATTGCAGGGCTGTCTTGCCCCCAGGGTTACCCTGCCATCAGCTCAGCAGTCTTCAGCTGAAGGCGAAAAATTTCATTGTATTTGGTCTGTTGCTGCCCACAGTCATGCAGTCAGTGGTCTCTGTGCTCTGTTCCCCTGCACTTCTGGCTGCAGTGAATGGTTCAGGGAGACTTAAACTGTCTAAAACCTCTTCTGGAGCCATTCTTGAAGGTATCGTGGGCATGGTCACAAAACTTACACCCATGAATAACTAGGAGTTGCCTAATTAAATAAGCTCCAGCAATGGCTAGCTCTTCTGTAGTACTTGCAGAGTGGCAGTTTACAAGCACTCATCCTTACTGCATCAACTGCGGTGATACAAGCTTGTGCTGAGAATCTGAATATTTATGCTGAACAGCCTAAAGGTGTGTGTTTGGCAGAATTACTTCATGTACTCAACTGTTTGATTTTTCTGTTTTATTTAAGTAATTAAATAAATTACAAATAAAACCCTGCTATATCAAAGCAATCTCATTAATATTATGAAGTCAGGCATTCTACAGTCAAGAATTGCCAGAACTAAGTTGTCTGTGTAATCTGAATTCATTCTTCTTATGCATATGCATTAGAATTAAATGATTACATCCTTTTTTTTTCCCCACAAGATCCTTGCCTATTTAACTGAGGGCATAGAATTCAGAATGCAAAGTTGATGAACAGCAATTCAATTTTATTTTAGCTTCACTATTCAATGTGAATGTCTGTGATTTAATTGCTGCATGCTAATCTAAACTTGGTTTTGGACAGACTCACTATTTCTTCAAGGATTTTTCTGTTGTGCTCACTGGAGCATTTTACAAAAACTAAGAACTTATTTTCACATTTTCCCTAGAGAGGAGGCTATTTTGACACTTGGTTTTTAGACATGGCAAACTAATGCACAGAGGTATTAAAATAAAAAGTTTTAAATCATTAGGTATTAATAATTATTTATCATTAGATGTTTTGGTGTCAAATCTGAGATGCTTGTAATTCAGCATTACATAGTACTGTTTGGTCATATGCAGACTGAGTAGCAACATACACATACTGCAGCACAACAAAGATCCTTGTCCCCAGTTGTCCACTTCAAGTACCTCGCAGGAGCACATTTCACGCACAGCTTTTTTCCTGTGGATGTCAAGATGTCAAGCATTTTGAAAGTTAGAATTATGTACAAACTACTTAAGTGAGGAAACCTTACATTTATAACTGCATAACTTTTGAGCATTTACCTTTGCTGTCTGTGTGTGGTTCCTTTAATGCAGGTTTCTAACGAGATCTCCTTTACAGTCTGATCCTTCACACACTTATTAGCTAGCAACAGGACAGGCTTTTGCTACAGACTGCTAGCAGAAAATTTCTACATGTTTATTTTGTTAGCATAATCTTTCTGGAATCAGTTCTCTTTGTAGTTGTAGTGGACAACAGAGAAGATAAATCAGGTGAGAAAAAGCAGCTTTCAACTATGGCACCACTGCAAACAAGTATTCTAGTTTTATCTGCAGTTCCTCTAAATTCCCTGATTCTTTAAAGCTGTCTTGGTAGTGTTGTCTCCTGACTTTTGCTGCTGTTGCTTTTGTCACTGTAATGTAAATATTCACTGTAGCTGCTAGAATGCCTCAGTCTGGTTTTCAAATCTGAGTCTGGTTTAACCAAATCTGATTGAAAAAGAAGAGGTATTCTATGACTAGAAAATGTATTTAATGGATATCACAAATTTGAGAACTTTTTAGTATTAATTGTTGAAGAGGTCTAATGTCCCTGGAAAAGATTATAAAATTCTGAACTTTAGAGAAAGAAAGAGCTTGCTCTAATCTCAAGCACTGCAAATGCTGTATATTAGCAATGGAGTTTTGCTGCTGACAGTGGGGCAGTAGAAATATCTGTCAATAAAGCATGCAATCTTGGAAAACAAGACAAAATAGAACAAACAAACAAACAAACAAAAAAACCCTGAGGGAAAATTTTAGAATA